GAATAAAAAAAAAAAAAAGAAGGGAATGGAGGTATAACACTCCCAGACTTCAAACTATACTACAAAGCCATAATAATCAAAACTGCATGGAATTGGAACAAGAACAAACACATGGACCAATGGAACTGAATAAACCCACAGATTTACGGTCAACTAATCTTTGACAAAGAAGCAGTGAATATGCAATGGAGCAATGAAAGTCTGTTCAATAAATGGTACTGGGAAAACTGGGTCGCTACATGCAAATGAATGAAGCTTGACAACTACCTCACACCATGAACAAAAACCAATTCAAAATGGATTAAGAACTAGACATAAGACCTGAAACTATAAAATATATAGAAGGAAATACAGGTGAAACACTACATGACATACACCTCTGTAACATCTTCAAAGACACATCACCCAAAGCAGTGATAGTGAAGGCAAAGATAAATAGCTGGGACTACATCAAATTAAAAAGTTTCTGTATGGAAAAAGATACAGTAACCAAAATAAAGAGATACCACACCTATTGGGAGAACATTTTTGCATACAACACTAATGGTAATGGACTGATCATAGAAATCTACAAAGAGCTGATGAGACTCAACAAAGTAAATAATCCAGTCAAAAAATGGGAAGAAGAGCTAAAAAGAAACTGCTCCAAATGACCAACAGCCATATGAAAAAATGTTCAGCATCACCTGTAATCAGGGAAATGCAAGCCAAAACTACAATGAGATACCATCTTACACCAGTGAGAATGGCACATATTAAAAAGAAAAACTATCAACAACAAATGTTGACGAGGTTGTGGAGAAAAATGAACTCTCCTGAACTGCTGGTGGGAGTGCAAACTGTTCCAGCCACTATGGAAAGCTGTGTGGAGATTCTTCAACCTGCTAAAGATGGAGCTTCCATATGATCCAGCAATTCTACTCCTAGGTATTTACCCAAAGGACACAGAAACATTAATTCAAAAGGGCACCTGCACCCCTATGTTTATAGCAGCACAATTTACAATAGCTAAGCTATGGAAACAACCCAAATGCCCAAAAATAGATGATTGGATGAAGAAGATGTGGTATATATACACAATGGAATATTACTCAGCAATCAAAAAAGATAAATCCATGCAATTTGCAGCAACATGGTTGGAACTGGAAGGGATCATGCTCAGAGAAATAAGCCAGAAGGAAAAAGAAAATTACTGCATGGTCTCACTCATAGCAGGAATTTAGAAAACCTAAATTAGGGACCAGGAAAAAGACTAACTATAATAAAGTAAAAATTAAAATCAACAAGTAACTGCTATTCAACTATAAATCAGAGACACACTACAGGGGGAGGAGGGAGTAGGATCAAAACATGGGAGTGGGAATTATATGGGGACAATAACCAAGATGAAAATGCATACATTGTGCAAAATGATATAAAATCTATAAAATTAAAAAATAACAATAATAAATAAATAAAAGAATCTGTGCATGAAAGTAATTTGTGCATCTTTGAAAGTTTGATAGAACTTACTTATGAAGTGATCTGGTCCTAAACTATTTTTTGCAGAGGTTGATTGATTACTGTTTCAATTTCCTTGCTTGTGATTGGTTCATTTTGTGTCTCTATTTCTTCCCTATTCGGTCATGGTTGACTGCATAATTCTAGTACTGTCCATATCATCTAGGTTGTTGAGTTTGTATGCATATAAATGTTCATAGTAATTTCTGGTTTTCCTCTGAATTTCTGAAGACTCTGTTGTAATTTCTCCTTTTCCTTTTTTTGATCCTATTTATTTGTATTTTCTCCCTCATTTTCATATGAGCCTAGCTAGAGATTTCTCTATTTTGTTTATTCTTCCAAAGAACTGTATTTTGTGTATTCTTTCAAAGAACAAAGGCTTTAATGTCATTGATCTTTGGAACCATCCCTGGGTCCCAGCTCCAACTAGCAGTGGAGAGAGCTGTGTGGCCAGCCCATAGTGCATTTCTCACCACCCCACCCAACAACAGACACCTTCATACCAAGATTCCAGCCTTGACCAGACTCAGGTATGGTGAGCTGTATGGACATCCCACAGCTAGGCCTGCTGTAACAGGGTGGTCCCCAGTAGAGGGGAAGGTTCCAAGTTCCCTGCCCCACCCAAAAGGAGGGTGGAGCTGAGCAGAGAGAAGAGGCGGCAGAGGAGACTGAGGAAGGAAGGAAGCAGGATGGAGCCAGAAGGAGACCTGGGGGAGTTTCCAGGTTCCCTGCCCTACCCAAAAGGAGGGTGGAGCTGAGCAGAGAGAAGAGGCTGCAGAGGAGACTGAGGAAGGAAGGAAGCAGGATGGAGCCAGAAGGAGACCTAGAGGAGGCACATGGAGCAGAGAGACACATGAAGAAATTGTGCTTGCCTTTTGGTCGTGGACTGGGTGACACAGATGTGGGTGAGACCCGTGGGGAGGTGACAACGGCAGCTTTTATCTTGATTTTGATTTTTCTCTTTTCCTTCCGGGCTTGTCTGGGTGTTTCTAACCCCTTTCTGTGGGTCCCCACTGGAAGATGCCTTAGACTTGTGGCAGGCTTTGGGGCCTTGCTCTGGGCCAATCCCATTTGGATGGAGTTTTACCCACAAGAGGACAGGTAACTTTGGGTGCTTCATTTAGAAACTAGATTCTGTGCTTTTCCTGTATTGTTTCCTAGTTTTATTAAAGTTTCTTCCCATTAAAGTCTCATATGTTTTGTGTTGATGCGGCGGATGGCAGAACCCATTTAGCATAGTCAGGTTTGCAGGGTTTGGGCTGCCCCTCTCCCTGTCCTGGAACACTGCCACCCCACATAGCCACCAATGCCATGATACCCAGATCTCTACCTTAACCAGCAATGCAGGGGGAGCTGTATGGCTTTCCATCCTATCATATACAGAGTTCAAAACTGCCATAATTAACAAAATCAAAGAACTGGAACAATGCATAGGAAATTCAGAATAGCAGTTTAGAGATATGTAAGACACTCAGAAAAGCAAATACATGTTATGAGAAATACAATCCATGAACAAAAGATAAAATAGAATCTCTAAAAAAGAAAATAATAGAAATGCAAAGGAGTAGAAGATCAAAGGATGAGATGAAAAACTCTGGATAATGCCTAGGAAATAGGATAAAACAAATGGAAGAATAAATCAGTGAGCTCAATGATTAAGATGGGAAAGATTCAAAATAGAAAAAGAGAGCCACAAAGGGGAAAAATAAAGCAACAATTTAACAATTACCTGACACCATGGAGAAAGAAAATATAATAATGATAGCCATCTCAGAAAGAAAAGAGAGCAGGAAGGGAAATGAAGAACTATTTAAAGAAATAATAGAAGAAAACATCTCAAACTTGCAGAGGGAAATGAACGAACAAATACAAGAAGTCATAGAAACACCAAGCTACTTAAACAAAAGGAAAACTACAGCAAGACACATAAAAGTAAAACTTCTGAGAGTCTAAGACAAAGAAAAAATAATGAAGCTGACTAGGATGAGGAAATAATAACCTGTAAAGGAACCCCAATTAGATTAATATCACACTTCTATGAAGAAGCACATGATCAGGTATAGAATGGAGTGACATTCAAAATCCCCCATGATAAAAATGTCCAACCTCAAATATGCTATACTATAAAGCTCTCCTTCAAATTTGAGGAAGGAATAAAGATCTCAGACAAACAAAATTTTAAAGAGTTTACAACAATGAACACCCCCCTCCAAGAAATAATGAAAGGAACTTTAGTATGTATGCAAATACAAAAAATTAACAAATACAAAAAAACACATTATGCAAACACAAAACTATTGATACAATGGCAGCAGCAAACTTTCATATATCAATATTCACTCTAAATATAAATGGACTTAACTCATGAATAAAATAACTAAGAGTATTAAGTTGGATCAGGAAATAAAATTCAACTTTCTGCTGTCTCTAAGAAACACACATAATTTCCTAGCATAAAATGACTGAAATTAAAGGGTTAACAAACAATTCAACAAGCAAACAGCACCCAAAAGAAGGCAGAGACAACCATATTTATATCAGATAATATAGCCTTCCAACTTAAAAAGTAACGAGACAGGGATATACACTTTATAATTATTAAGGAAACAATACAACAGTAAGACCTAACAGTTATCAATATATACTTACCAATGAAGGAACATCACAATACATTCAGAAATTATTATTAAATAGTAAAACAGAAATTGGGGGAAATACATAGGTGGTTGGAGACTTCAACACACCACTTTCACCAATGGATGGATCAATGATACAGAAAATAAATAAGGATAAAATTGCCCTAAACAAAGGACTAGCTCTCATAGATTTATTATAAGGTACAACTTGCCATAAAAAACTGAATACACATTTTTCTCAAGTGGACACAGATCATTCTCCAGGATTGAGCTCATATTGGGTTACATTATAAGTATCAACAAACTTATGAAGCATGAAATCGTATCAAGTATCTTCTCTGACAATAAAGGTATCAAACTAGAATCAACAACAACAACAAAAAAGAAATATTCTAATGCATGGAGACTAAAGAACACACCATGGGAAGCCACTTGGGTAATGAAGAAAACAAAGAAAAAAGTAAAAATGTACCATGAGACAAATGATAAGGAGGACACACCTTTCTAAAATATATGGGACACAAGCAAAAGCAGTATTAAGAGGGAAGTATATAGCAATAAAGGACCATGTCAAGAAATAAGAAAGCCCAAATTAATAATCTTGTCTCTCATCAAGGAATTTGAAAAAGAAGACCGAAGAACTCAAGTTAGTAGAAGGAAAGAAATAATAAAAATCAGAGCAGAAATAAATGACATATCTTTACTTTTGAATCAAAGTTCCTATAAGAAACATCTGCATTCATTTGGCAAGTGGTGAGTAAATTAATTTCTAAGTCACATGATGCTTTGGAGCTGAAAACTGAGGGAGTGGTCAATTTGCTATCAGTAAGTAGTAGGTTAGTTAAAATACTTCCAGAAACTGACCTCTGCCTTCCAGATCCACAGTGAGCCCCTGCTTCACGTGTTCCTGGATCAACTGAAGTGTGTGCTCAAAAATTTCCCCTGCTCTTGCCGTCTCCACAGTAAATGGGTCTTGCGGATAACGAAACAAAGCCAACAGATCACTGGGGTTGTGAGGTTTTCTGCAAATAACAAAAGACATTACTGTTTGCAGGCAAAAATGGGCAGAATCTGAATCACATATATGTTGAGCATTTAAGAATATAGTTCCCAAAATCTGAGAATGGAAGATTTGCCATCAGAATACAAGTTTCACAAAGTGCTATGTTTCTCTCTCCAAATGTCAGTAACAGTGCTGAACTCAAAATATACAGTTCAATTAATTAACCATTTGCATAATAGTTTTCTATAAAAATTAATATCTTTGGGGCCTCCCTGGTGGCACAGCAGTTGAGCACTGGGCTGTGAGTCTGCCCGCAGCCTCTGCAGCGCCGGTTCGTTCCCCAGCCGCTAGCGAGGGTCACCACAAAAAAAAAAAAAATTAACATCTTTGGAGGGAGTTATAAACTTGTGGATTATAAGAATATAATCCACAGTCTAGGGGACTCAGTAAACTTTCTGAAACAGTGTTAAACACTTAGGTTGTAGGTCTTGGCACTTTCTGTCCTCTCTTTCCCTAAAGTTAGCAGTCTGAAAATTCCCCTTTACTTTTTTTTTTTTTTAATAATAAATTTTATTGTTATATTCCCCATACAATTGCAGCCCCCCAATTCTGACCCCAATCCCTCCCCTCCCGCCCCCGCCACCCAAAAAAGAGTCTCTGGTTCATAGTTTTTTGTTGATTTTGATTTTCACTTTCTTATAGTTATTCATTTTCCTGGTCCCTTATTTAAGTTTTCTAGATTCCTGCTATGAGTGAGACCATCCGGTATTTTTCTTTTTCTTTTTGGCTTATTTCGCTGAGCATGATCCCTTCCAGCGCCATCCATGTTGCTGCAAATTGCATGTGTTTATCTTTTTTGAATGCTGAGTAATATTCCATGGTATATATGTACCACATCTTCTTGATCCAGTCATCTATTTTTGGGCATTTGGGTTGTTTCCAAAGCTTAGCTATTGTAAACAGTGCTGCTATAAACATAGGGGTGCAGGTGTTCTTTGGAATTGATGTTTCTGTGTCCTTTGGGTAAATACCTAGGAGTGGAATTACTGGATCATATGGAAGCTCTATGTTTAGTAGGTCCAGAAATCTCCACACAGCTTTCCACAGTGGTTGGACCAGTTTGCACTCCCACCAACAGTGCAGAAGAGTTCCTTTTTCTCTACACCCTCGCCAGCATTTGTTGTTGCTAGTTTTTTTTTTTTTTTTTTTTTTTGAAGTCTTTTTTTTTTTTTTTTAAGATTTATTTACTTTATTTTTATTTATACACGCACTGGGTACAGTCAGAAGCACGGGAGGGTGAGAGAATTCACCAGAGCCAGAGCAGGGAGCGGAGCAGGCAGAAGGACCAAGGTACACTGCTGAGGGGAGCAGCGGGCGGCAGGAGAGGTCTGCGCGCCATGTGGGACCCTCCTCGGTGGCCGGGGAGCAGCCGGGGATCGAGCTGGTGCCTCGGAGGCTGCGGGCAGCTTCGCAGCCCAGCGCTCAACCGCTGCACCACCGGGGAGGGCCCCTGTTGTTGCTAGTTTTTTTAATATGTGCCATTCTCACTGGTGTAAGATGGTATCTCATGGTAGTTTTGATTTGCATTTCCCTGATGGCAAGTGATGTTGAACATTTTTTCATATGCCTGTTGGCCATTTGCATTTCCTCTTCAGAGAAGTTTCTTTTTAGCTCTTCTGCCCATTTTTTGACTGGATTATTTTCTTTGTTGTTGTTGAGTCTCATCAACTCTTTGCAGATTTTTGTGATCAGTCCTTTATCATTAGTGTTGGGTGCAAAAATGTTCTCCCAGTTGGTGGGGTTTCTCTTTGTTTTTGTTATTGTCTCTTTTGCTGTGCAGAAGCTCTTTAATTTGATGTAGTCCCAGCTGTTTATCTTTGCCTTCACTATCACTGCTTTGGGTGATGTGTCTGTAAAGATGTCTTTGATGTGCAAATCACGTAGTGTTTCGCCTATATTTCCTTCTATATATTTTATGGTTTCAGGTCTTATGTCTAGTTCTTTAATCCATTTTGAGTTGATTTTTGTGTATGGTGTGAGGTAGTGGTCAAGCTTCATTCTTTTGCATGTAGCGACCCAGTTTTCCCAGCACCATTTATTGAACAAACTTTCTTTGCTCCAATGCATAGTCTTTGCTCCTTTGTCAAAGATTAGTTGACCATAAATCTGTGGGTTTATTTCTGGATTTTCTATTCGATTCCATTGGTCTGTATGTCTGTTCTTGTTCCAATACCATGCAGTTTTGATGATTATGGCTTTGTAGTATAGTTTGAAGTCTGGGAGTGTAATGCCTCCATTCCCTTCTTTTTTTTTCAGGAGAGCTTTGGCTATTCGGGGTTTTTTGTGATTCCATATGAATTTCATCAATAATTGTTCTATTTCTTTGAAGAATGACATTAAAATTTTGATTGGAATAGCATTGAATCTGTATATTGCTTTTGGAAGAATGGCCATTTTAATAATGTTTATTCTTCCAATCCACGAGCAGGGGATGTCTCTCCATTTCTTTGTGTCTTCTTCTATGTCTTTTAACAGTGTTTTATAGTTTTCTTTGTATAGGTCCTTTACCTCTTTTGTTAGATTTATTCCCAAATATTTGATTTTTTTTTTGTTTCAATAACAAAAGGGATGTTTTTTTTGATTTCTTCTTCTTCAGATTTATTGTTTGTGTATAGGAAGGCTACTGACTTTTGCGTGTTGATTTTGTATCCTGCCACTTTACTGAACTGATTGATGAGTTGAATTAGCTTTTCTGTGGAGTTTTTGGGGTTCTCTATGTATAATATCATATCGTCTGCAAATAGTGATAGTTTGACTTCTTCTTTTCCTATTTGGATTCCTTGGATGTCTTTCTCTTGTCTTATTGCCCTGGCTAGGACTTCCAGTATTATATTGAAAAGCAGTGGTGAGAGTGGACATCCTTGTCTTGTTCCAGATCTTAATGGAATTGCTTTCAGCTTTTCACCATTGAGAATGATACTGGCTGTTGGCTTGTCATAGATGGCCTTTATGATGTTGAGGTATGTTCCTTGTATCCCAAGAATTTCAAGGGCTTTTATCATGAATGGGTGTTGCACTTTGTCAAAAGCTTTCTCAGCATCTATTGATATTATCATATGGTTTTTATATTTCTTTTTGTTGAACACTGATGCAAAAATCCTCAATAAAAATTTTAGCCATCAGAATCCAACAATGTATCCATAAGATAATTTACCACGACCAAGTAGGATTCATTCCAGGGGCACAAGGATGGTTTAACATCCGAAAATCAATCAACGTTATCCAATACATCAACAAAAAGAAATATAAAATCCCCTTTACTTTTAAAACCCTGTTCAGGCATCAGTCTCCCTATAAAGTCTACTGGCTCTGACAGGCTGCTGTCTTCTCTACTGCTATATTTACCTCGCAAGAAGATGTACTTAAACTTCAGTATTTAAACTATTGATATGTTATCTCCTATACTGAAGAAAGACTGTATTAGGAATAGGAGGCTGCCTTGTTTACCTTTGTATCTCAAGTACCAAGCCTACTGATCAACACAGTAGTCATTTTGACATATCTGGAGAACTAAACTAAATAGGTTAAAATGAATATTTGAGTCCATGAGATTTGGGTCAACTGAGACATTGAGTTATTTTGTCTGGAATCATAATACTATATATCATAGGTTAGTAGCAATAATATTAATAACTTACTTTAATTGATTTTGTTTTATGTGCTAGACACAGTGAGACACTTGATTTCTGTTATTCAATCCTCCTAGTAAGTACATCCAGGTTACCCCAATTTTATATGCAAGAAGACTGAGGTACAGAGGTTTAAACTTCCCCAAGTTCACCCAGATAGAAAATGATGGAGCAAGGAATCACAAAAATAATATTAATAAGTTGTATAACTCTAGGACAAAAATTCATCACCACCACACCATACTGTTCATCAATAAACAGAAGCAGTACTTGCTGATGACATTTTAGGGATTTCCTTTCTTACCAATAACTGTGAGGATTGGGTTTATATTTTACTTGACTATGAAGATAATAATGTTTTCCTTAATACATTCAGGTGTTGCAAAGCAACTCAGTTACTTTCATCAGGGGACTTTACAAAACTGGAAATTTTCTCTAGTTTAAGGATATTCTGACTCAAAGCTGGAAGGGAACATGCTCAGTGAAATAAGCCAGAAAGAAAAAGAAAAATACTGGATGGTCTCAATTATAGCAGGAATGTAGAGGATCCAAATAAAGGATCAGGAAAAAAACTAATCATAATAAAGTAAAAATCAAAATCAACAGGCAACTATAAATCAAAGACATACCATGGTGGGGGGCGGAGTAGGATCAAAACAAGGGTGGGATGAGCATAAGGGACCATGGTGATAGTTCACTGGTGAGTGGGTGGTGGGAATTTTATGGGGACTATAACCAAGATGAAAATGGATACATTGTACAAAAATGAAAAATTATGTAAAAAATATATCAAATAATTTAAAAAATAATATATAAAAAAACACAAAGTGCCACATATCCGAGCAAAAATTTTCACTGTGGGCTACCAGTGTATAACAAGATGTTCAATATGACAATCACATCCAATCCATTGATTGGCAGGAACACTGACTCTGACACTGTTAGGTGTTGGCATATAACCACTCCATTGTGTGAGATCTACAGGGGAGGCATGTAGAGTGGATCTGTGACATAAATTACTGCCTACAGGAAACAAATTTCCCTATCTTTGAAGCTGACTGACAATGATGGTAAGCCCAGAGAGTAATATATGCACACAGGCTGAAGAAAACACACTTTGGTCCACTTCTGCTGTTGTGACTTAAAAACTAAGCAGAATTGAAATAAAAACAATTTAGTAATAAAAGTAAAATAAATTCTTACTGTGAAAATAAATGTCTTCGTGTGGAGTTAATTGCACTGTCAACTCTCTGTACAGCATCAAGAATGGATGATTCAACAAATTCATCACCAGCTTGTCTTCCCTGTATTGCTTTGAAAATCAATTCCATGATTACAAACATCAAACAAACCTTCAAGTTAGGAATAATGTGAGAAAATTATGTTACCATAAAATCTAAGTCAATAAGAATGTTACACTGTGTCCACATGATACTGTCCATTGCAGAGAGGTAGGTAATTATTCTGAACAAAATTTACCAAGAATAACAGCATTATTTGGATACTTAAGGCATTCCTAACTATCTTTCTTCCAAAACATGTAGAATTATGTGAATTATTTTCTTTTTTACAACACTGAAGTAAATGAGATTCAAGTGTGTTAGCAATTTGTCATCTTGGAGAAGATATGAAATGCATATCTCTTCACCCACCTTGTTTCAACATTAGCATTAAAACAAAATCATATCTCTATAGAGCAAGAACTGAACTCTCAGTAAATAATTCATGTGGTTTCTATAGCTCTTTTAACGTGTGAGAATTCTGTCGACATGAATATTATAGACAAAGGAAATTTTTCACTTAATGTTGATAATATTCAACATTTTACATCTTCTCCAGATGATGGTTTATGAAATATAGACTTAAAGGAAAAAAAAGTGTTCAATGAAACATCATGGATAAATATTTAAAACACATAAAGGAAAAACAATAAATACCAATATTATTTTGTATTTTTTGAGATTATTAAAAGTATGATAAAATTTATATGACATTTGAAGCAATAACTTTTGGCACTGTTAAATACTGAAAACATGATTATTATGTCTTCAAAAATGATTTTGAAAATAATATCTTTAAAGAAAAATAAGACATGAAATATGCAAATGTACTAAAACAATATAGCATGGAATTGTTATATATGTAAATGTATACACATTTACATACTACTAAATATACATGTAATAATATATGTATTAAATATAGAGTACATATATGTGTACACATATTTTTCTTTATCCATTTTGTTATAGATGAGTCCAAACAACATTCCATATCTGGACATTATAAAAAATAATTCTTTATACTAGGATAATATACAAAAAATTTTGGTTCATTGTCCTAAAATGGTCACTAACAAAAAAAATTAAAAATAAGCTATTATGGTTATTGTAAAATCAGACTCTACCAAAAGACATTTTTGGTAAACTAAATTATGTGTAGTTGTTATGAGACTGTTTAACTCAGCCTTTATCAGACTTGGATGTAAGACCCAAAACTATAAAATGCAGAGAAGAATCCACAGTCAAAACACTCTACAACATGACTTCAGATAGTATTTGGGGACTTGACTCCAACAATAGCAAAACAATAGCAAAAGTAAACAAATAGGACATCAAACTAAAAAACTTATTGACAGTGAAACCATCATTAAAACAGAAGGCCAGGGGACTCCCTGGTGGTGCAAGGGGTTAAGACACAGCCTATGAAGCTGTCTGCAGCCTCTGCAGCACGAGTTAGATCCCCAGCCAGCCAGGGAGCAACCCAGATGGCATAGCAGACCTCCCCTGACTCGCCCGCTGCTCCCCTCAGCAGTGTATTTCAGTAGATCTGCCTGTTCTGTTCCCCATTCTGTCTCTGGCGAATCATCTCACCCTCTGCACCTCTAGCCTGTACCCCAGCTCTTGTATGCATGCATGCATGCATGAATAAATATATCTTTGAAAAAAATCATAATGAATGGGAGAGAATATTTACCAATAATAGATATAAGCGGCTAATATCTAAGATCCAAAAAGAACTCATATAGCTAAACAAAAAAAAAAAAAAAAACCAGCCCATTCCAAAATTGTATAGAAGACCTAAATAGACATTTCTTCAAAGAAGACATACAGATGCCCCACAGGCACTTGAAAATTTCTTTATCATCACTTATCTTCAGGTAAATGTAAATCAAAACCAGAATGAGGTACCACCTTATACCTGGGAGAATGGCCCTATCAGAAAGACAAGAAGCAACAAATGTTGGCAAAGATGTAGAGAAAGAACACTTGTACACTGCTGGTAGGAATGTAGCCTGGTCTAGACCCCATGGAAATCAGTATGGAGGTTTCTCAAAATATTATATATAGATCTAAAAATAAATCCTTCAGTCACACAACTTGTTATCAACCCAAGGATTCACAAACATTAATTCAAAAGTTCATCTGCAGCTCTAATTTCATTGAAGAACTAGTTACAAAAGCCAAGCTATATATTCAATTACAGATGAGTGGATAAAGAAGGTATGGCATATTTACACAATGGAAAACTAGTCAGGTATGAGAAGCAATGAACTTCTGCCATTTGCAAATGCATGAATGGAATTGAGGAGATAATTCTAAGTGGAAACATCAGGAGAAAGACTGGGTAGTTTTACTCATATGTGAAATAATGAAACGGTTTCATTCAGAAATAATGGGTGGTTTTACTCATATGTGAAACATACAGAAATAAAACAAAGGGTCATACAAAACTAAACCAAAAGCATCTCTAAAGATCTGATAGACTTTAGACTTGAGGGTGCCATAAGGGCAGGGAGAATATTTTGAAGGACTCTGGGTGTTTTGGTAATGGGTGGGGTGTGGTATCATTTCATTTGAAGGGTTGTGAACCTATACCTCTCAATTTTATACAGTATGTAAGCAAGTATTACTACAATAGAAATAATATAGATAAGAACTGTCATTAAGGCCTCCCCGGTGGTGCAGCGGTTGAGCGCTGGGTTGCAAAGCTGCCCGCAGCCTCTGCAGCACCAGTTCTATCCCTGGCCGCAGGGCGAGGGTCCAACATGGCACGCAGACCTCTCCTGCCGCCCGCTGCTCCCCTCAGCAGTGTACTTCGGTCCTTCTGCCTATTCTGCTCCCTGCTCTGGCTCTGGTGAATTCTCTCACCCTCCCGCGCTTCTGACTGTATCCAGTGCTTGTATAAATAAATAAATAAATAAATCTTTAAAAAAAAAAGAACTGTCATTTTTATGACCACAATATTGAGATGCTGCAAGGCTATGTTTCCTTTACTAATGTAAAACATGTTGCATTGGCTATCAATTAGCCAAAGATAATTGAAAACAAAGATGAATTCATTGACTTGATTATATGAAACAATTTGCAATCAACAAAAGATTAAAATAGATTGTATATATACAAATAATAAAATAGGTCTCAAAATTTTCAATTTCTAAATCTTACCCATAATTAATATTGTTTTGTAACACATTAAGAAAACATATATCAGGCATATTATTAAAAGGAAAGCTTTGAGAATTAATGTACATAGCAGATAGTCAGAGTTACCTCAGAAAATAAAATTTAAAGTATTGATGTTTTGTATACCATTTTATACTTATAAGAAAATAAAAATATTGATCAATATCAAATTTTGGCATGTGTAAGATTTTGTTCAGTAATTATTTTGTTTTCTTTTTACTTAGTGAAATTACTTATATACATACTCTCATGCTGGAATCTCCTTTCCACATCTACATCCAGAGAAATTCTCATGCAAGTGCATAATGACTATAAATCAGAATATCCATTGCAACTTTGTGTGGAAAGAATTGGAGAAAATTATACAGCAATGGAAGTGTGTGTGGCTGGATGCATGCATGGACGGATGCTAAAAAGAGTGTTTAATGTAAAAATTAGAAAACTGAGATTACCATAAAATTATTTAAGAGTTAATTGTATTATAATTGTTACAAATACAATGACCATGATGAAACTGGGCTTTGGTCACAAGAAGGAATAAACCAATTAAGTTGCTAAACAATGGAATATTATGTGTGAATAAAAAAGATAAACTCGTGTCATTTGCAGCAATATGGATGGACATGGAAGAGATTATGCTAAGTGAAATAAATCAGAAGGAAAAAGATAAATACCACATGGTTTCATTTATATGCAGACTATAGAGAAGTAAAAAAAAAAAGTGTCAGGCAAAATAAAAAGACAAAACTTGCAAGCTGACCATATATTTGAGTCATATAGCATGGGAGGAGGAGGGAAAGGTCTCAAAATAGGAGAGGGAAGAGCACTGTATTGAAGTGTATTGAAGCAACTGTATTGATGGATACAGGTGCTGTGGGGGTGGGAGAAGTACAGGGACTACAGTGGAGGGAAGAAATCAAATATGATCCAAAAATTAACAAAGATGTAAGAAAATAAATATACCAAGTGGGAAATCAATCAAAATCCAATGATCATGAGAAAACTGAATATTCTCAATATAATTACATGTATCTGATTGTGATGTGGCAAAAAAAAAAAAAAAGTAAGAATGATTCTATTTAGTCTATGGCACTTACTTGGAAAAAAGCAACTGAGATCAATCAAATCAATCTATGCTGGTATATATGCTGAATTGATTATTTGATTAAGATGTTAGCCTTTCTAAGTTCTGCTTTCTCCTTCACTTGGGAAATTAACCTCAAGTATAGAAAGTGGCCTGAATTACGTGCTCATATACGTGACAATTATTGTCATCATCCCTTTGTGCAATATATGCTTTCAAAGTCTGTTTGTATTTGGAAGAAAAAATAAAATTGTAGGTGAGATTGAGTTACCACAGTGCACAGCGGTATTGAGATGCTACCTGTCAAAAGGCTGTTCACTGTGGTAGAAAGAATTTGGCAAGAGAAATTGCAATTTAAGGAAAACATTGTTCAGCAGGTTAGTCTAAATTTTATTTGTTTGATAGTTTTGCTTTGATGGTATGTGGTAAAATAGTTTTTGCTGTTATAGATGTACAAACTTTATAAGCATAGGAATTTTACATATTTTCTTCATATTTTGACTCATTCATAAAATGGTAATAATATCTCTTCAGCATATAATTGAAGCCTGATGTAGTCAACAAATTTGGTTATCACATAAAAGGGCTTTCAAAGTTCTTTGAAAACTGCATGTCACAATGGAAGTACAAGGTTTCTTTCAGTGAATATTGTGTTCTAAACCATTAGGTAATATACATCCTCACATAGTAACCAACTGATACTGTGTTGTCACAGAATACCTTTTAATGTAACTTGCTATTTCTCTGTATTAATAAGAACTA